CCCCCGAGCCCCCGGCCCGGCCCTGCTCCGATTTTCCTGGACATGTCCGGCTTTTTGGGATTTCCCCCCGGACGGGGATTTGGAGCCCAAAAAGCCTGACATGTCCGGGAAAATCCGGACGTATGGTAACCCTAGGACTGCAGAGATGAGCTGCCTAAAGTTACTCCCTAGGAGGAGCAAGTGAAGAGACTGGCAAATGCAGAGGAATGGGGAGGATTAGGAATTATGGAAGCAGCTCAGGGAAAGGCAGCAAGGTGCAGGGAACGGACCTTGGCTGCTGCGTAGTAGAGGGTCCAAGTTGATTACCGAGTGATTGGTAACAGTTGGGCATTGCATATTTCCCCAGAGCAATAGTCACTTGCTTTTCCACTGTCACTGCAGATTTCATTTGAGTGTCACTGCACTGGAGGGCTGGGGCGAGCTCTGCACACGGATCCAGGAATGTAGCTTTGCGCATCTGAAAGTTCTGCAGCCACTACTTGTCATCCCAACCCTGCATGACAATGCGATCCCACCAGTTAGTGCTTGTTTCTCAGGCTCAGAACCAGCACTCCACTGTCTGCCGCTGCCCTGTGAATGCCACCAACAATCTTGAATTGTTTCTTTCTATATCACACAGCAATCTAGCCTCAAAGGAATCGTCACATTCCCCACAGCTCCTCTGGCAGTTACTCTGCAGTTACTGCAGGATCAGGTGCCCCATGCTCGCAACACTCAACACAACTGTGCAGAACTGTGCAGGATTCATGCTTCTGACACAGATAGTAGACAGCAAGGAAGGATGTGCGCGTTTGCAGGGATTTTGAAAAGAATTGCGAAATATTATGGGATGCAGATGAAATTATGGGATAGAGAAAAATGCATTATGGGATGTTGAAAATATGGTCCCAGTCACTCCTGCATGACTTGTTTCGGCCCCATGCGGCATGGTAAAATCTTCCCAAAACACCCTGTGCTAGATTGTGGTGAGTTACACAGAGGGATAGCTACCCATGGTGCACTGCTCTCTACATCAATGCAAGCGCTGCTAGTGAGGACGTGCACCACTGACACAAGGAGCATAGTGTGAACGCACAAAAGCAATTTAATTATTGCGGCAGCTGTATGCTGATGTAACATAGGTCAACATAATTTTGTAGTGTAGACATGTGTTGCGGGGCAAGTGCACCTCATCCCCTCTTGGGGTGGGTGGAGTAATTACTTCGCTGCAGTGGTCTGCTTACGACCACCATTTGTCTTGGGGTGGTGAGGACTAATGGTAAAAGTCAATATGGCCACTCTCTCTCTCAAGGTTGTATGGCCCAATGGTCAGAGTCAGGGTGACGGCCCCTTCCCACACAGCCATGGGGCCCAATGGCCCGAATCAAAATGGCTTTCCGGTTCGGTCGGGGTGTATCGCCAAGTGTTCAGAATCCGTGTGGCTGCCTGGCTCAGCAAGGCAGTATGGCCTAGCAGCAAGAGTCAGTAGGGCCGCCCTCTCTCAGAGCTGCTCTCAGAGCTGTGCGGCCCAATAGACAGGGTTGATAGAGTCACCCTCTCTCGGGGCCGTGTGGCCTAGTAGTCAGAGTCGAGGTGATCACCTAGCTCAGTAAGGCTATGTGGCCTAGTAGCAAGAGTCAGTCGGGCTCCTCCCTCTCTCAGTGCTGCATGGCCTAGTACCCAGAGTCGGTATCACTGCCCCTTCCATGGGGCTGTGTGGCCTAGTGGCAAGTATGCCTGCCACCGAGTCAGTGGGGAATCCGCCCGAAACACGCTGACCCCACTCAGCACCACAGCTAGTCTCCCTGAGCTACTTTCTACCCGGTTCCTGATGCCAGGGTCCCAGAGTCTCCGTGGGCTCTGGGCTCCTCGGTCAGGGTGGCTGGCAACAGCTGCACCTCGCCTTGGGCATTCTCCAGAGTCTCAGCGTCCCTGGGGCTTCTGCGGTTCCTGGGCTGGAGCTTGCAGCATCCATCCTTTCTTTGGCGGCTAGCCCTGAATGAGCTGAGCTGATTCTTTTTATACCTAGTCCGCAGCTGGAGCATGCCCTGCAGGGCTGTGAGGGTGTGGCCTCCTCGGCCCAGAGAGTTGAGTTAACCCTCTTCATACGAACGTGGGGCAAGTGCGCCCCATCACAACATGCCCTAGACCAACTAGTTAGGGTAACTCAGGCCTGGTCTACTCTACAGAGTTAGGTTGACCTAAGCTGCCTTACATTGACCTAACTATATAAGTATTTATACTAAAATTTTGCTCCCACCGACGTAACTGCCTCGCTACACTGACTTAATAACTCCACCTTCACAAGAGGCATAGGTCAACGGTAATGTAGTTAGGTCAATGCAGTGTCAGTGTAGACACTGTGTTGCTTACCACCATTGTTACTGGCTCTCAAAAGCCATCCCACAATGCCCCTCATTGACAGTACAATTGATACAAACACTCCTGGTGAGGACGCACACAAGGAGCAAAGTGTAGACACAGGCAAGCGATGTAATTACTTTGGCAGCTATATGCCGACATAAGTTAGATCAACTTAGGCCTGGTCTACACAGCCATTTTACAGCGCTGAAACTTTCTCACTCAGAGGTGTGAAAAAAACATCTCCCTGAGCGCTACAAGTTTCAGCGCTGTAAAGTGGCAGTGTAGACAGTAGCTGTGCTCCCAGCGCTGGTAGCTACTCCCCTTGTGGAGGTGGGTACCATAGGCTGTGCCTCCCCAGACAGTCAGGCATGGCCCCACCCACCAATGTTCCCTCTAATTTTTTACATCCATGTGCAGAATGAATTTTGTTATGTGCACCAACATGGAAGTGATGTGTGGTGGGTGTGGGCCGTGGGGTTTGGAGCGTGGGAGGGGACTCAGGGCTGGGGCAGAGGGAATCTAGCTGCCCACACTCTGCCCCCAGTCTCCCCTCCTGCTTCCATTCTGTGTGGCTGCTCCAGGCTCCCTGTGGGGTGGCCTCAGCTCGGGCCACGCTACCCACCTCCCATCGCTCTGGGGCTGGGAGGGGGGGTACGCTGCCCGCTCCAGGGCTGGGGGGTCACTCTGAGGCTGGGGGAGGCGGAAGGGGCAGGGCTTTGGGCTGAAGAGGCAGGGCTAGCCTACCCCAGGCAGCAGTTCATGTGCTGCCCATGTATAAAGAGCTCTTCTTCAGGTCTGAGAAAGGTACTCAAAGGGTACATCTACACTGTGATCAAAAACCCAGGGCACCCGAGTCTCAGAGCCCGAGTCAGCTGACAAGGGCTCACAGAGCTTGACTACAAATTGCAGTGTAGACGTTCGGGCTCAGGTTGGAGGCTGGGTTCTGACTCTCCCCCCTCGTGGGGTTTTATAGTCCAGGCTCCAGCCCGAGCCCAAACATCTGTACTGCAATTTTATAGCCCTGTAGCCCGAGAACCACGAGCCTGAGCCAGCTGACCTGGGCCAGCCACAGCTGTGCAGAGGTCTTTTATCACAGTGTAGACATACCCAGAGCGTCACAGCTAAACACAAGGTGAAACAAACTGTCTAGGATAAGCAGTTAACCCATAAAAGATATTACCTCATCTATCTTGTCTCTCTAATATCCTGGGACCAACACGGCTACAACATTTCAAACAACCTTTATGTACTGACAACTGGAAACAATAGGAAGACATCACCCAAGGTTGTTATGGCCAGGTCTATCAGAAGTTCAGACAACATGTAGGCTGACGGGTTTCCCTGGGACTGACTGCAAGAGTTAGGGGATTGATTAGTTGCAGCTATGTTTGTTTGGGTGTGTGAGAGGCAGAAAGCCAGACAAGCAGTTTGAGCATGGCCCTGATAGGGAGCAGCGAGAGAGAGAGAGTTCCTTGAAGTACATTACTTACAAGAAAGACAAGCTTGGAAAATGTGAACCAGGAAACTGCCTGCTGTTGTTTGTTTCTACTATGTTGAAGGAAACAGGACTTTGTGTACATTCTTTGTAAATAAACAGGACTGCATCAAATAAATATACAGCTAGTATCATCATCAATGTATCCGCCTATCAAAAACAACTCAGCAAACATTAGTTGGAAATTTTATGAAAAAAGATTTGATTTGCAGGACACATTTAAGAGGTTCAATAGATGATGCATGTTTTCAGGCCCTGGAAGGGAAAGTTGATGGTAGAAGAATGCAAGACAGAAAAAAGAGCTAGGATGGACGATGTATTCTGGGTGGATCAAAAGGACTATTCATCCACAAAGTGATTAGCAGAGGACCATACAGAATGGGCTAACATGGTTGCAAACATCTAGTAACAGAGATGCCATATGAGAAGAAGTACGGAAACAACCTGGCAAGTCCTCAAATGTGGGCTAACTGTTCAGACCAACAGGAGAATTCTACTGTTGCTGTCTACACTGGGAGTTAGGGGTTGGTTTAACTGGTTCACTCTTAGCTGCGGATTTTTCACACCCCTGAGTGACACAGTTATTCTGACCTAATTTCCTCGTGTAGACCAGGCCATGGTTTAAGCTGTAATTAGAATTTTAGTGAACGGCTACATTCACTTCCCTTATAACTTTGCATGGGAAAAAAATATTTTTTTTAAACTAAAATAGATATTCTTTTAAAGTTTCAGGGCAGTTAGTCAAACCATTTTTTAAGTAATGGATGTTTTAAAAAAAGATACTTTTTTGCAAATGATATACAATGACTCTCATTCACTGTTGTCTTGCACTGTCCTGAAATCTGAGAAGCTACAAAAACATTACCTGACATACTGCTTGCACACACTTTGGACCAGATTCACTGGAACACTCCAGCTTGCTTGCACTACTCAAGTAAAGCAAAGCAGCTGCAAGCCTAAATTAACTGCCACTTTTTTCTTGTATAGAAAACCCTTATATCTGGCTCATACTTTTTAACGTAACTGAGCAGCATAACAAATGATTATTGATCATTTTTGTGTCAAATCACTAGATAAATCACAAACAATAGCCAAATACAATTAAATCATACATCTCCAAATATATACACATGGAGAAAAGGTCTCATATGAAATCACCTACCTCTGCTCTGAAGAACTTTTCAACACATACCACAAAAAGCAATTCAAATGTTTAGAGATAGAGAAATAGCGGTCCACATTCTCTAATGTCTAAAACAGGGAAAAAAAACATGCTTCATGTTTATATATGATCTACATGATACCACCTTTAGGCTCTGATCATGTTAACATTTATATATGTAAGTATCTTTATGTACACAAGTAGTCCTACTAAATTCAGTGAAACTAGTCATGTGCGTATGTGTTCACAGGAGTAGGGCCTTAGAGGCCAAAGGTGAAATCCTGACCTGACTGAAGTCAATGGCAATTTTGCCATTGACTTCAATTGAGCCAGGATTTCACTCCAAGCATTTTGTGTGTCCAGGTAACTACATATAAAGACTTTTATATCTCATGTTCGTTATATTTGTTAATGTATTGTTTATTACAATTTAATGCAATGTTTGTGAAGAAAGAAATGTAGGAACAGTTCAGTCACAATACAGTTTCCTCTTATCTATTCCCTTTTTATTTCCTCTTACAGCTCTCTCTTTCCTCAGCACCAAACAATAAAAAATGAACCAGACCTGATGGTGGCATCAAAGGAGCATGAATAGCGGTCTCCACTTCACAGAAGGTATAAAAACACAATAGCTGCTCTACTGGGGGACTTCTCAGCCATTTTTCACCAAATCAAGCAGAGAGGAGCTGCATGTAGGAGCCTGATGAGGCAGGGAGAAACCTGCCTTCTTGTGCATTGATAAACCCCCAAAGAAAGGGAGAGCTACTGTTATTTTTTAAATTATCTTTACTCTTCTGTGCTTTATCCATTAAGTAAAAGAGCAATGGTATTAGAGTCCTGTACAAAATGTCCATGTGTGTTACATACTTCACAACTATCAGTTGCCTCCTGAGAGAGTTAAACTATAACCCAAAAGTCTCACACCTTCACTGGGATTCTGGGAGAGGGTGTGTTTACTGGGGTATTTTGCAGGTTAGCACTAACTCTGGGTGCTTAAGGCAGATAGACTAAGGCCTGGTCTACACTATGACTTTAATTCGGATTTAGCAGCGTTAATTCGAATTAACCCTGCACCCGTCCACACAACAGAGCCATTTATTTCTAAATAAAGGGCTCTTAAAATCGATTTCTGTACTCCACCCCGATGAGCGGAGTAGCGCCAAAATCGAGTTTGTCAATTCGAATTAGGGTTAGTGTGGCCGCAATTCGATGGTATTGGCCTCCGGGAGCTGTCCCAGAGTGCACTATTGTGACCGCTCTGGACAGCAATCTGAACTTGCATGCACTGGCCAGGTAGACAGGAAAAGCCCCAGGAAAATTTGAATTTCATTTCCTGTTTGTCCAGCGTGGAGAGCACAGGTGACCACAGATAGCTCAGCTCATCAGCACAGGTAACCATGCAGGCCGATAATCGAAAAAGAGCACCAGCATTGACCGTACGGGAGGTACTGGATCTGATCGCTATATGGGGAGAGGATTCAGTGCTAGCAGAACTTCGTTCTAAAAGACGAAATGCCAAAACTTTTGAAAAAATCTCCAAGGGCATGATGGAGAGAGGCCACAGTAGGGACTCAGATCAGTGCCGCGTGAAAGTCAAGGAGCTCAGACAAGCCTATCAAAAAACAAAGGAGGCAAACGGTCGCTCCGGGTCAGAGCTGCGGACATGCCGCTTCTACGCCGAGCTGCATGCAATTCTGGGGGGGCCTGAGGATTCTGCGGATGGGGAAGAGGAGGAGGAGGAGGAGGAGGAGGAGGAGGAGCTTGCAGAGAGCACCCAGCACTCCGTTCTCCCCAACAGCCAGGATCTTTTTCTCAGCCTGACTGAAGTACCCTCCCAACCCTCCCAAGCCAGTATCCAAGACCATGACCCCATGGAAGGGACCTCAGGTGAGTTTACCTTTTAAAATATAAAACTTGTTTTAAAAGCAAGCGTTTTTTAATGATTACTTTGCCCTGAGGACTTGGGATGCATTCGCGGCCAGTACAGCTACTGGAAAAGTCTGTTAATGTGTCTGAGGATGGAGCAGAAATCCTCCAGGGACATCTCCATGAAGCTCTCCTGGAGGTACTCCAAAAGCCTTGCCACAAGGTTTCTGGGCAGTGCAGCCTTATTCCGTCCTCCATGGTAGGACACTTGACCACACCATGCTTGCAGCAAGTAATCTGGTATCATTGCCTGACAAAGCCTGGCAGCGTATGGTCCCAGTGTTTGCTGGCATTCAAGCAACATCCGTTCTTTATCTTGCTGTGTAATCCTCAGGCGAGTGATATCGCCCATGGTAACCTGGTTGAAATACGGGAACTTAATTAAGGGGACAGAGGTGGCCGTTCCTACTGGGCTGTTTGCCTGTGGCTGAAAAGAAATCCTTCCCTGCAGTTAGCCAAGCGCAGGAGGGGGAATTGGCCCTGAGCTTTTCGTGTTTGGCTAGCAGGGATCTTCCCTGTTACCAGCCACGCAGTGGGGGGAGGGGTACAGCGATCATCCCAGAGAATTCATGGCGGGAGGGGGGCGGGGGGTTAGTTTGGTTTCTGCAGGGATCTTCCCTGATACCTGCCACGCGGTGGGGGGAGGGATAAAGTGATCATCCCAGAGAATTGGATGGGTGGGGGTTAGTTTGTTTTCTGCTGCTGAAGGTTAACAGGAAAACTGCAGCAGTCAATGGGCTTTGCTTGGTATGTGGGAAAGGAGGGCGCAGAAGCCGAAAGACAATGGCTTACCATGGCTGCATGCAAGCTGAATTCTGTTGCCCAGACCTGCGTCTGTGATCTCTAACACCAAAGCCACAGGCACTCAATATTAAGATGGAAAATGCGACCTTGTACTGAAATCACATGTGCTATGTAATGTGAATAGTGTTTTTCACCATGAAAGAGTATAAGCATTGTTCTGTAAAATGTATCATTTTAAAAACTTCTCTCCTTTTTCTCAACCCTCCCTCCAGCAGCTGCAAATTTTTCAAGCCTCCCTCCTCCGTCCCGAAGGCTATCTCAGATAAGGCGTCGGAAAAAGAGGACGCGAGATGAGATGTTCGCGGAAATAATGGAATGCACCCGCAATGAAAGAGCTCATTTGAATGAGTGGAAGGACACTGTATCTAAATTTAGGAAAGATGCCAGTGAACGTGAGGTCATGAGGGACGCTCGAGATGAGAGGTGGCAGGCTGCAACGTTGGGGCTGCTGCGTGAGCAAACGGACATGCTCCGGCATCTGGTGGAGCTTCAGGAACGGCAGCAGGATGACAGAGTGCCGCTGCAGCCTCTGTATAACCTTCCTCCCCCCTCACCATGTTTCATATCCTCCTCACCCAGACGTGTAAGAACGCGGGGGGGGGGGGTGGAGGCTCCGTGCACCCTCCCACTCCACCCCAGTGGACAGCCCAACCAAAAGGCTGTCATTATATTGAATTTGTTCAGTGGCCTTTTACTTCCCGCCTATCCTCCTCCCAAACCTCACCCAGATTACCTTATTGGTTCTCTCCCTATGTTTATAATCAGTTAATAAAGAATACATGATTTTTAAACGATAGTGACTTTATTTCCTTTGAAAGAAAGCTGGGGGAACGGGGAGGGTGGGTTCCTTACAGAGAATGAATGAGTCAATAAAGGGGGCGGGTTTTCATGAAGGAGAAACAAACAGAAATTTCACATTGTAGCCTGGCCAGTCATGAAACTGGTTTTCAAAGCCTCTCTGATGCACAGCGCTTCCTGGTGTGCTCTTCTAATCGCCCTGGTGTCTGGCTGCGCGTAATCAGCAGCCAGACGATTTGCCATAGATAGAATTCCATGTCCATATCCTCATCACTCTCGCCGCCGCGCTGCCGTAGCCTGCTCCTCGCCGCCTGGTTTTCCAGGTTCTTGTTCAGCATAAACTGCACGATAAGGCGCGATGTATTTACAATGTTCATGACTGCTGTCTTGAGCTGAGCGGGCTCCATGCTTGCCGTGGTATGGCATCTGCACTGTTCACCCAGGAAAAAGGCGCGAAACGGTTGTTTGCCGTTGCTTCCTGGAGAGGGGGGAGGATATACCCAGAACCACCCGCGACAATGTTTTTGGCCCCATCAGGCATTGGGATCTCAACCCAGAATTCCAATGGGTGGAGGAGACTGCGGGAACTATGGGATAGCTATGGGATAGCTACCCACAGTGCAACGCTCCGGAAATCGATGCTAGCCCCAGTACATGGATGCACACCGCCGAATTAATGTGCTTAGTGTGGTTGCATACATTCAAATTTATACAACCTGTTTTCCAAATTCGAATTATATAAATTCGGATTAATCCCATAGTGTAGACATACCCTAAGGCATAGCAGACTGAGTGTTAATGCCCAAGAAATGTGCCAGAGAGGCCAAGGGAGAAAATAGTGCAGCAGCCTGCTGAAACCCACAAGACGTTAGAACACCTAGGTATCCAAAGGACTGGATTCCCTTCACAGCACTCTGCTGGGTGGTTGGCAGGGGGGAGCATGACCAGACCTGTGACACCTTCTAAGGAACATTCCACTGGAAGAGATTTTTTTCTGTTAATCTGATTAACTGTCAAAAGTCCATATGTGTTCACTGTCCAGTATGTATGGACTTGTTTTTTGGGGGATCATACATTGGAATGACCTACGAATATTAGATTGTTTTGGGGAGACTTAGTAATCATTGATCATATTCCTCCCTTGGATCTTTATAAAATATTTCCTGGAAGACATTCCAATTATTTGCTGCACTGTCTGTGAATTCTGCTTCTTTAAAATAGTTGCTTGCATGGATTCACACTAGGTGCATGAGCTTGGACCTTTTTCAATAGCAGAGTCATAGATTCTAAGGTCAGAAGGGACCACTGTGATTATCTAGTATGACATAGGCCATAGAACTTCCCCAAGATAATTCCAAGAACATATCTTTTAGAAAAACATCCAATCAAGATTTAAAAATTGACAGTGTTGGATAATCCACAACCAGCTTTGGTAAATTGTTCCAATGGTTATTTGCTCTCACTGTTAAAAATTTATGCCTTATTTGTCTAGCTTCAACTTCCAGCCATTGGATCATGTTAAACCTTTCTCTGCTAGACTGAAGATCCCATTATCAAATAT